GAGCTCAACATGCTTCGTCGTTGCATGTGTCTTCAGGAATATCGAAGATAACCAGTTCAGTGGTATTATCCCAAATCATTTTCAGTCCATTCCTCATCTGTGGTGAGTTACTTGTGCTTCTAAAATATTTGCGCAGACACTTAATACTCATGATAATTAATGGTGCTTTCCTGAGCAGGATTTGGGGAAACAAATTCCACGTAGAGCCCAACTATAAACCGTGGAAGTTCCCTTTGGACGTCATACCGATGATTCAAAATGCTTCTGGCTACCCAACTACTCAATCAAGTGCCATTATTAATTTTCCCAGACCTCAGAAGGCCCAAAAGAGGAAGAAGAAGAAGGGCATAGGAGCAGGGAGTACTGTCTTACTGGTTGGGGGGTTGGCTTTGCTGGGAACTTTCTTTGCACTTTTCGCAGTCCGCGTAAGTCATCGACGGGCACGTAACCTTGCTGCTAGTCACAGAAGCAACAATAGCATAGCGTACTCTCTCCCAGTCAGCACATGCCGAGGTGATGTATGCCTGTCTCGTTCCACATTGTCACCATGACCATTCTGATTCCTTATTACTGATTTTCTTACCTTCCCATGTCACAGAATTTCCTGTTTCAACTGAAGATAGCCCACAGATGAAAAGGGTCAAGCCACCGGCAGTTCCCCAGCTAAGACATATACCTCCTCCACCTGTCAGAATCGAAAAAACAGCTAGAAGAAACAGCTTCTCTGCTACATGCCAATATCCAGCGTACGCTAAGCTTTTCTCATCTGCAGAGCTTCAACTGGCAACTAACAACTTCAGTGAGGAAAACCTACTCGGAGAGGGTCCTCTTGGTTCGGTTTACAGAGCAAAGTTGCCTGATGGTCAAGTATATCTTCTCTTCTCTCTCTTCGAAACATTCGGAATGGGAAATCTTCTTTACTCGTTTCTCATTCATTGATGTTTTTTGAAAACAGTTTGCCGCCGTGAGAAACATCCCAATGTCTTCGCTGTCTTTACGTGAAGAGGAACAATTCACTGAAGTGCTTCAGACAGCCTCCAAACTAAGACACCCAAACATTGTGACACTTCTCGGTTTCTGCATTGATGATGGACAGCATCTTCTTGTCTATGAGTATGTTGGCCATTTGTCGTTGTACAATGCTATGCATGATGAGGTATACAAGCCACTTTCTTGGGGCTTGCGTCTCCGCATTGCTATCGGAGTTGCCCGAGCTCTGGAGTAAGTATCCTATCTTCTCAAACAAGTAGTAAGTAGCTTATTCCTAAATCCTTGCTGATTTATTTGGACTCGTCCCTATCTGGTGAATCAAAAATTTCAGCTATTTGCACTCCTCGTTTTCCCCTCCTATCGCCCATAGCGATTTGAAAGCAACAAACATCTTACTAGACGAAGAGCTTACGCCTCGTATTGCTGACTGTGGGCTTGCTAGTCTAAGGCCACTTACAAGCAACAGTGTCAAACTTCGGGTAAGTAAAGACATTCTATCCTGTGTTGCTTAGCTCTTTGACTGAGACCTAATGAGCTGTGAATTGAGCAGGCTTCAGAGATAGCGATACAGAACACTGGCTACATTGCACCAGAACATGGACAACCAGGGAGCAGTGGCACAAAGAGCGACACTTATGCACTGGGAGTGCTACTATTGGAACTGTTAACAGGAAGGAAAGCATTTGACAGGTACACAATCATTTTACATGTTTGTGTTTGGTAGGTACAATAGATAAGCTAAGCATTTGACCTTTTTTGACGGATATTTTCAGCTTACGACCCCGAGGAGAACAATTACTAGTGAAATGGGCATCAACCAGACTTCATGACAGGCGAAGCTTAGAACAGATGATTGATCAAGGCATAGTCGGCACATTCTCCTCAAGAGTCGCCTCACACTATGCAGACATTATCTCCCTATGCACTCAGGTATTGTCATCAATAGCTATAGCTTCTTCACACAGGGTCATTTAAATAACTAACCACTCATTCATCATAAGCAGGCAGAGAAAGAGTTTAGACCAGCGGTTTCAGAAATAGTGGAAGCACTCACTGCACTGATACAGAAACAGGACAAGGAGGCAGCGAGCAGTGTAACAGACAAGACCGACCCTTTTAGCAAATCTTTCTGCTCAACACGCACACGCTTCATCTCCTCACCTACCATCAGCTACATCTCCACTTGACCATTTTCTGCATCTCTTCTTCATACACAGATTCTTTACTTTACTGTCAAAAGAATACTTACTTCTTAGCATATGATTGACTTGGTAAAAGGATGTTGGTTCTTAGAGTAT